TATGCCTGCCTCTCTGTGAATAAAGCCATTATTTCTTTTTCTTGGTGTCAGATTTTTAAGGCAAATATAGTGATCTTTGAGGTCTGTGTGGTTGAATTGGCACACATCAGGTATCCTGTGCACAGCATTTGACTCATTCCAAGTCCGCTGGGAAAGGCCCCGCTCCCAAGTGACGGGAATCTGTATGTGGGTTCCCTATGTGTGACTGCATATCTGGAACATTTGTCCAGAGCCTCAGAGGAGGATTCAGTACTCAGAGCAAGCACACAGAAGGCATTACACATTCTGGGGTTTTTTTTTGTTAATAGATGTACCCAGAATTTTGATGGAAGAGACGACATTACATGATGATCAGTGGTTTTAAAACTGAATTACTGTGGGACCAGCAGTTAGCATAATGGCTATGTCACTGGACTCCCATGTAGTTGACTGCGGTTCAAGTCCCAGACCCGGTGGCTTAAAACTCACACCGGGTGCATGTGCGTGCATGCCCAAGATTCCAAGAGGAGAATGGAAGAGAAGGGATTGAGGCATGGCCATCCCCCCTGGGGGGTGATTTCTCGCTTTCTGTCTCTCTGTCTGGCTGTCTGGCGAGCGCACGCACCCTATGGCAAAAACCTCTCCAAAAAAATAAAAAATAAAAATAACTGAATTACTGCTCTTCTCGTTAGCAGCCTGAGGTGATCTTTGAAAATGGTTCGCTGTTCACTTGACCCAGAGAGCCCCACAAAGTCATGCAAGTCAAGAGGTTCAAATCTTCGTGTTCACTTTAAGAACACACGTGAAACTGCCCATGCCATCAAGGGTATGCATATCTGAAAAGCCACCAAGTATCTGAAAGATGTCACTTTACAGAAGCAGTGTGTACCATTCCATCGTTACAGTGGTAGAGCTGGTAGATGTGCCCAGGCTAAACAGTGGGGCTAGACACAAGGTCGGTGGCCCAAAAAGAGTGCTGAATTTTTGCTGCACATGCTTAAAAATGCAGAGTAATGCTGAACTTAAGGGGTTAGACGTGGATTATCTGGTCATTGAGCACATTCAGGTGAACAAGGCACCAAAGATGCACCACCATACATACAGAGCTCATGGACGAATTAACCCATACATGAGCTCCCCCTGCCACAGCGAGATGATCCTCACTGAAAAGGAGCAGATTGTTCCTAAACCAGAAGAGGAAGTTGCACAGAAGAAAAAGATATCCCAGAAGAAACTGAAGAAACAAAAACTTATGGCATGGGAATAAAGTTAGCATAAAATAAATGAAGATAAAAGTAAAAAACAAACAAACAAACAAAAAGACTAAATTACTGACTGCCTGTGTGACCTTTGAAGGAAAACTTAAATTTTTCTAAGCCTCAGTTTCTTCATTTATAAGATAAAGATCATAATAATAGTTCTTTTAAGGTAGAGCAGAGTAAATGACACTACATGTAAACTACCATGTCTCGGGACCACAGAGCACTTAGATAATATCTTTTATCATTACCATTTTTTCCAGTCTTGATGGAACGTTGTAGAATTCTTTAGATTCCATAGAGTGTCTAACAGGTACAGCACAATAATCAGAAGCATTACTACATTCTTGCAGGGAGCTAAAGATGATCGTTGAACATTTCATCTTACTATTTGACATTTGTTACCCATTTATAGAATGGAACATGGAAAATTAGAGTGGGTTAAATCCAGGTTGTCATACTTGAATTCTAGCCTTAATTTTTAAATTCTATGTATTTTTTTTCTCTTTAAAAATAATGAGTTTGTTTGTTTTTGTTATAGGGTGTGTGTGCTTGGAGGCCTCCAGGGGGATGGCCATGCTGCAGTCCCTTCTTCTCCAGTCTCCTCTTGGGATTTTGGGCGTGCATGCACACATGACAGTGTGATTTTCGAGCCTCTAGGTCTGGGACTCAAACTGCACAGCTAACCTTGTGGGATATAGTGCCTTAACCTCCATGCCACCTGTTGGCCCATGTATTTCTGTTCTTAAAGGTTGCTTAAATGACTGTGTTGAAAGAGGCCATCCTCTTTCAAAAAGGCAGCTCAGTTATTATCATAAATCGTAAGTATATGGCCCCGTGCCAGATAATACCAAAAGGAGTATAACAGACAAGAAATGGCCTTTAAACTTATGGGAATCAACAATATGACAAAATAAATAAATAAATAAATAATCAGATTAATCAATAGATTGATAAAAAACATGGTGAAAGTCATTTATATCGATGATATTAAAGGAAAAATTATTTAATATCTTATAATCTAAAAGTATACACCTAATTATGTAGTCGTGAACATGAGGAGAAACTCGAGGATTTTTTAATTGTATAACCCAATGTTGTATATATTAAGTGTGTATGTTATGAAACTTTATATCAAATTCCAATAAATCATATGTATATTTTTAAAGCTGGGGGATGAATTTAAGGAGCATTTTTGGAAGGTTGTATTTAAACAACAATAAGTTAAGGAAAGAAAGCAATAAAAATATAGTTTTATATAAATTGATGTCTGTCAATAAAAAAAGAGAATCATATCGGGGAAAAACGGCAAAAGCAGAAATAGGCTCGCTGGTGGAGTGGGGGTATAGCCCATGAGTATAAAAGCAGCAAAAGAGAAAGATATTTCTTAGTATGTTATCTCTTTTTAGAGCACCATGTAGTCTAGCTGTACATTTACACTTTATATTTTGAATAAATAGTATTTTTCTCAAGACAACTAATGAGCTTAATTCAACTACTTTTCTCTTTGACATCTGATGCAGCAAGTGCAAATTTACATTTGCTTGAGGGTAGAACATCAGCAGTATCAAGTATTCTAACCTCAATCTAGGATAATAACTTTGTGTTCATTTTAAATATATATGATCCAAAAATTTCATCTAAGCATCACAAATGAATCCTAGTAGAACATGCTCTTTATCATGAAGCACGAAGTATTACCCTTGCCTTGATAATACCGGGGAAAGAGCAACCAATCTAGCTACAGGACAGTTACAGTCACTGACTGGTTCTCTATAGCTTGCATTGTCGAACAGCTGCTTGTGTGAACATGATCAGATAAATTTTAGAAGATGGCAGGGTGAACCACAAAGCTCAGAGTCAGGCTCAGGTAGACCAAATTCAGTTCTTAGGCCTTGCTGCTTATCAGTGAGACCTTGGCTAAATGATTGAACCTCTTAACCCTCATTTTCCTCACCTGTTAAAGAGGATGGTATTACCATCCTGGAAGTTGTAGGCATGATGTATGTAGGACACCTGGAGTATAGTAGGGTCTCAATCAATGAACACTTTTTCTCAGATTCAGAGGAGTCCAGAATGGCATGTCCCAGGTAATGATACTGTAACTGCTCAGCTGTGGAATTATATATGAGAGGCCTTTAAAAAGTTCACAGAAAACTGGAATTAAAGTATAAGTTTATTTTGGTGCAAGATTTTTGAAATCCATGCAGAATATGCATTTTCCATGAACTTTTTGAAGCTCCTTTTGTGTAGGGTGTCTCAGTAAGCAAATCTCTGTGCTACTTGGCTGTGGTGTGATCTAACCAGGTACCACCTTCAGAGTCAGAAAAAGAGAGACAAGGCTTGAGCATAGCTTTGCTGACAAATGAACAAATTTATCCCTGGCTCAGATGCCCAAATCCTGCCTACTGTTTTTTTGGGAGGAGCCAGAACCACTAGGTCCTCTGAACCATCCCTTTCTCTTGCCCTTAGAGAAATAATACAAAGTAAAATCTCCTCAAATAAGTGGAAGGTGATATTATGCTCTATATGATCCTAATCCAATGACATCTGGCTTTCATATTATAAATTAATTTTTAAGTCATACCAAGAATAAATCATACAGATTTTGTCATATGGCTTGTTATCATAGAGTAGCTTAGCAGTTCCCAGACCACATTTTGAAAATCTCGTTTTCACTAACATGTTGAGAGCATTACTAAAATCTCCCATCTGTTTTCTTAGTTCACGACTTTATCTTGTATGTGCAAATCCTGCACAGTTCTAGCACAAGATTATGTAGGATGTAAAACCCAGTAATAATTTTCAGGAACTAGGTAATATTCTAGAAAGATATCCTTAGCCTTGTAGTTCTTGGACTTGTTCTTATACATTTAATTCTTTCAATATTTTTATGTTTTATTTTTAATAATCTAGGAATAATTAAGATACACATTGTTAGCAAGTGTTCAGTTAAACCTTGGTACTAAATGACAAGAAACACAGAAGCTCCATCACTACAGCTGGTGTGGCCTCCATCACAGAGTGTTCTTGCTAGTTCTGTCCTGCATATGTTTTTTCCTTGAGGTTATTATCTTCCCACAGATGCCATCTTATTTTGACTTTAATTGTAAGACTATACCTCAGATTACACAGATGACATTTGTACTTGTTTTCACATCCATTGCTTTATTTATATACATTAAATTGGATTTAAGATGAAAGGGACAGGACCAGCAGATGGCTTAATGGTTACGTCACTGGACTCCCATATAGTCAACCACAGTTCAAGTCCTGGATCTGGTGGCTTTGAACTCACTCCAGGTGCATATTCATGTGTGCCCAAAATTCTGAGAGGAGAATGGAGGAGAAGGGATTGCAGCACAACCGTCCCGTCTTCCCCGGGGGTGGAGGAATGATTTCTCACTTTGTTTCTCTATCTCTGTCTGTGTCTCCAATGAGTGCACACAACCTATAGCACACAACCTAAATCTCTATTAAAAAAAATTATAAATAAAGATGAAAGAGATTCCTTCCACCACAGCTTGCCATGAACAAATCAATGGCTGCCCTTCCTGTGGATACTACCTTCTCTCCTCTGATGTCTCCTAGTCCCCAACTACCTTGATCAGACAATTTTGTAAATTCCACTGTTGCTGGGGAAAGATTTCTGGTGGAAGCCACAGCAGAAATCCCAAGGCATGTGGTCATGCAGGCAGGGGTATAAGATTCAAAGAGCATTTTTAACAGGCCATACAAGTGAAAAAGTAAGAACACACAAACCTTTCCTTTTGCAGTCCAGTGTTTGTATGGGAAACACGTAATTGTGACAAAGAGTCGAATCCACCTCGGGCTTGATGACTGGTGGTCTCCCTGACACTTGGGGTTTCGGGTCCAGTTGTTCCTTTTCTTCTTCATTACATAACTGTTCAGATTTTATCTGCCGCAATTTCTTATTTTTCAGTTCTTGAGGGCTTTCACACTTGGCGTAGTTCCCCAGGTTCCGATTCCTTGGGATCTGCAACATGGAAATAAGCGTTTCTATCTCACAAGTACAGCGCCAGGGGTTGTCGTAAAGACGCAGGTAGCTCAGGAGAGGCGTATAAATGAACACCTCCTCCGTCAAGACTTTGATCTGGTTGTGCTGCAGTAAGAGGGTGGTAAGTTTGTTTAAACCAAAGAACGCCTCACTCTCAATTTTGGTGATCTCGTTCTGTTGCAGATCCAGGCTCTTCAGTTTTTTAAATTTAGAAAACATACTGTTCTTCAGTACACGGATCTTGTTTCTTGCTAACAGCATGTGCAGCAAATCCTCAGGCCAGCCAGGCAACACATAAACCAATTTTCTTTCTTGACAGTCTAAGTATTTCTCATGAAGATATGTGTACACTTCACAGGAGAGGCCTGGTGCGTAGCGTTTGACTGGGTTGGGGCCTCTCCGGCCCCCAACTGCCCGGCCATGATTTGCTCGGCTCCTCACACCGCCTGGGCTAGCTCTGTGCAGTTCAGCGGCCCTGCAAAAGCAGAGCAGGATTACAATAGTAACTACGCGCATCCTGACATCCAGCTGGTCCCAATTACTTGGTGTGACAGATGGAGCAATGAAAGTATTCCTTTGAAATCCAAGTTTGGGTAGTCTTAACTAATACAGCTCAGGAACAATGCGACCCAGCACGTGGAGTCCCTAGGTTGGAAGAGAAAAAAAAAAAAATTAAGGACTATTGCAAGCACTGTGTTATTGACAGACACTAACAGCTTTCTCTCTCTCTCTCTCTCTCTCTCTCTCTCTCTCTTAAGCAAAGGCCTTTGAATTAATAAGGGTGTAGAGAGCTCCTCAACCTCTTACTTGCCTGATTTAGTGCCCTAAGCTTGAACCAAAGCTCTCCTACCTGCTTAACTGTATGAACCCAGGCTTAGTATGTTAACCTGCTCTTCAGCATGTGTTAAATAGGATCAACGATACTGCCTAGTATTGTCAGGAAGATGAAATAGGCCGGTGCAAAGAAGACGATTCCCAATGCCCAGCCCAGGGGAAGTACTCCACAAATGGAGCACTCAGCATGAGTAAATTGGAAGCCTACAGTTCATCATCACCTTGGATTTAGTAAATTAAAGGAATTCTCTCTTTACAGACTTGAGATGCGCAAACAAGAGTAGAGTTAGAATTGCTGTCAGCCTGAGCTCACTTTTATCTTTCCTTTGCTATCTCCCTATCTCCAGACAGATTGAGTGTGGGCTCCAGAAATGTTCACAGTAATGGTGCTGTCCCCATCGCCTGCACACTTGGCTCACATGTCACCTTCTCAGCAAAGCTTTCTCTTATCAGTCCCATTTATAATCACAGTTCCTCCCACTTGCTGGGTAGTCTCAATCCCATTTCTTGTTTTATTTTTCTCTGTAGCACTTATCGCCATCTGCCAAAGTAGATTAGCTTCATTTATGTGGAAGTAGTAGTATTTGATCTATTTGTTTACTGTCAGACTCCCCCTTATATTGGGAGTCAGAAAAATCATGACACATTTTTACATAGAAAAATATCTCGTGACTTTTCCAACAACCTAATAGAAAGCAAACTCCTTTAGGGCAGGTGCTTTTGTCTCTTGTTCACTGTTGCAATCTGTTGATAAATGTTTGTTGAATTTATGAATTACCCTCAAGTACCTTTTTCATTCTGTAAGGATATTTATCCCATAAGCATAATTACTTACATTGTTTTGAGAACCTGTTTTTCCTTAGCAAGTATTACTGATGACTTCAAAGATCTGTACATTTTTAAGAATTGTTTTCTTTTTTTTTTGAGAGAGAAGTGTTTGCTATAGGTCATGTGTGGTCCAGGACTGGAACTGTGGTGGACTACGTGGGAGTCCAGTGACATAGTCATTATGCTAACTGCTGGTCTCCCTGCGGGTCCCACTTTTTTTTTTTTTTTAATTGTGAAAATATGTATGGTTTGTATTTATCATGTAGGGTACAGTCCGCTTTTGTCAATAGAAGAAATATTTATAATGGATTAATAACTAATAATATGTCTGTTGTATTAGCATGGGGCTATGGGGTTATGAGTGACAAACGTTTTCTATTAATTGAATGCCAGGCTCATCTCCTTGCCTGGAGTTTTCCTACTTCTTGCAGTCTCTTCCAACTATTGTAGAATGTCTTCCCCCTTCTTTGCCTCAAACATTCCTCCAGTGCACTGGTTTGTGCATTCTGCACTCACTGTTTCTCTTGTGTCTCAGAGTTGAAGTGTTACTTGCTGTCTGTCCAGACTCAGGGTACTGGTGTGTAACACTTTGCCATCTAGATATTTGTAAACATGTCTCATCTTCCCTGAGAGACCATAAACTGTGCAGTGGCTTCTGGTCCCAGAGCTAATCGTGCACTTAGCCTTTCTGACCCTCTACTTCTCTATCTGTAGTTCATCGCAAATTGTATGCAAATCTAATCTAAACAATTATAACACATGTTTTGTTTATAATTATACATGAATTATTTATGATATGCATGTTAAAGTATTGCTGGGAAGTATTCTAAAACTTTTTTTTTTTGAGAGATTTTGCTATAGGGCATGTGTACTTGCCAGAGAGGCAGAGACAGATAGAAAGTGAGAAATCATCCCCCACGGGAGGATGGCCACACTGCAGCCCCTTCTCTTCCATTTTCCTCTTGGGATCTTGGGCATGTATGCACACACTCCCGGAGTGAGTTTTAAGCCTCCAGGTCCGAGACTCAAACTGCAGTAGACTACATGGGAGCCAGCAACCTAACCATTATGCCATCTGCTGGTTCCAGTATTCTGTAACCTTTAAATGCATTAAGAAAAAAAAAAATCCATTGAGGGATATGTAGATGGGTGGATGGGTGGATATGTGATAAAGCAAATAACAATAAATATAAATTTTAAGGTGGGCCCCATAGCCTAGTGGTTAAGGGAACTGGATCCCACATGACTGACCACTGTTTTGATCCTGGTCCCAGTGGCTTGAAAAACATTCCGTGAACATGTGCGTGTATTCCCAAAAGCCTGACGAGATGGAGAATGGAGGACAAGGTATTGCAGTATGACCATGCCCCATTGGGTGTGCTCTCTCTCTGTCTCTCTGTCTCTCTCTGGCAAATGTACATGTCCTCTGGCAACACACACACACACACACACACACAATCTAGGTGTGGATATATAGATATTGATTGTATGATTCTTTCAACTAGTATGTATGTTTAAAAATTTTTACAGTAAATGTTAAAAGAAAACCAAAAGAAATGAACAAAAAGGCATGCCACAGAAAAAGCAGTTTGGTTTTCTTCAAGTACTTCCAAGCTAAAAGTTCTAAGTATATACTATTTTTCCCAAAGTAGTATTTTTCTCTTTTCCCCTTCCTGTAATCCTCAAACAATAATAACTGTGTATATAGATTTTAATTTTGAAACCAAAACAAATGTTGGGTTTTTTTTTTTTTGAGAAAAGAAGCCATGTATTTAGAATGAGTTATTTGCCAAGGTTTTGTTTGTTTTCTAATGAATACATGCACTGAATGTAGGATGGAAAAACTAAACATTTGTAATATGTTTTTGGTAATGTGTAACTCATTTGATTTAGGCCACTGTAAAAACTTGCAAGAGCTGAATGTCTCTGACTGCCCAACATTCACGGTGAGTTTAAGCAGTTTATTTTACTGTTGTTTATATAGATTCAGACTTGTTACGCTAGAGCTCTAATATACAGAATGCATGCCTTTGTGCTCATTTAAGATTAAATGTGGAAAAAAGGAAACTACGTTAAACTTTGGCAAGAAGCTTTAATCCCATCTGTACACGTCTATTAATTTTATAGATATATATGCCCAATGTTGGAGCCTCTGGCAAGTGGAAACTATTCAATGATTACACAAAAAATGAACTCTGTATATATTTGATTGTGTAAGTGTATGAGGCAGAAAAAATTGGGCCCCAGCAGAGATGATGAGCTCATTTTAGTAGTCTTTATGGCTATTAACAGCCATGCCAAAGAAATGGAAATGGACATTTATCCCTAGCTGCCTCCTTCCTCTTCCTGGTCCCTGTCTCCAGTGTCTTCCTCTGCCCCCATTCTGCCTTCCAGAGAGCATATAGTACTCTTTCTAAAAGGCAGATCTGACCACTTTGTTCTCATCTTCCATCAGTGCACGCACTCCTGTCATCTATCCTGCTGGACAAGGTCAAAGCTCTTAGTATTACCGTGCCTGGAGACCCTCTGTGGTCTTGCCCCTGCCTCCCCTTCCAGTTTCATCTTGCCCCAATTCCTGTGTACACATGAATTTCAGCAACTACACGCAGCTGAGCTTTCTTTGTTGTATTCACTAGATCTCATCTTCCATCAATGCACGCACTCCTGTCATCTATCCCGCTGGACAAGGTCAAAGCTCTTTAGTATTACCGTGCCTGGAGACCCTCTGTGGTCTTGCCCCTGCCTCCCCTTCCAGTTTCATCTTGCCCCAATTCCTGTGTACACATGAATTTCAGCAACTACACGCAGCTGAGCTTTCTTTGTTGTATTCACTAGATTACTCCTTGCAGTTTTGCCTTTATTCCTATTGTGTCCTCTGCTTGCTCTTTCTCCTTGTACCCAAGTAGAGTTTTCCTTTTTTGTCAAGCTTTAAGATTTATTTTACACATCACTTCCATTACTAAGGCATCACTGGCTCCCAGGGCTGCGTTCACTGCTGCTCCTCTGGACTCCTGTATTAAGTTGCCCTAACCATAGGGTTTCTGTCCCTTTAATTAGTCTAAAAGACCCAAAGAGCAGGAGCTGTGTCTTTGTGGTATTCATAGCACACAACAAAGACTTTGGCATAAGGTAAATATTCAGGAATGGTCCATAAATGCAGTGGAGATGCCGAGTAGGTAGGTAGACAACATTGGCTAGCACTCAAGACTTCATCAAGACATGTAGATGGATTGACATCTACATGTAATAATCAACATTGCAAGAGGTCAACCCAGAGAGAAGGTACCAAAAGAGAAGAGGATTTAGGAGTTAGCCTTGGGGAATGTTGATTTTTTAGAAGCTATTAAGATGGAGTAGTAAGAGAAGCAGGTTTAAAAGGGAGTATCACAAAATGCAAGAGTTTCTGAGAGAGGTGACCTGGTCAGAAAAGGACTGAACAGTGTCTCCTATATTTGACAGTTAGAAAGTGACTGATAACTTTTGCTAGAAGAGTTCCAGTGGAATATTGGAACAGAAATCTCATTGTAGTGAATTGAGAAGTGAGACAAGAAGTGAGAAAGTGAGGCATTAGCTATAAATTTATCTTTCCAGAAAAGTGGCTAAGGGTGTGGGGGAAGGAAAACAGGGGCAGGGAATGGAGATAGGTTTATAGAGGATAGTCGGAGACTCATTTCAAGCAATAAGTATCTGAGGACATAAATGGGAATCAAATGAGAAGCTGCCTTGTGCAATGCCCCTCATTAATCACCAGCTCCAGGCCAAAGACTAAACCTTGGCACAGGTGAAAAGATTTCATGAACTGACTCTCCCTGCTACCTCTCAGACTCATATTTATAGATTTTTCTTTAAAAATTTCTACTCTAGTTCACTACTGAACCACTTTAAGTTCCCTAAACATGGCATCACTATTTCATCATGTCCTTGAACTTGTTTTTCTATCTTCCTGCATAACCACCCTTCCCTTCTCACCACTTTTCATCCCAACCTTTTTTAAAAAATACTCTTCAACTCCATTGGGTCTTTTCATTTACTTTTCCACTGGCCTTTTAAAGACAGCTATAAATAAGACATAATAAATATATGAGACAAAATATGATATAATATATAATATACAAGACATATGATATATAATATGAGATACAGTGATATAAACATTTATATTGAGTTTAATTTATCCAATTAACATACATAATTTAATGGGTTTTGATTTATTAACAGAGCTGTGCAATCATTATCACAAACAATTCTCAAACATTTTCCTTTTTTATATAGTTATTTTATTTATTTATTTACTCATTTTAATTTCACTAGAGGAGAGAGAGAGAAAATGAGAAAGCAAGTTGCCAGGCCTGGGACTCAAACCATGGCTGACCAGTGGGAGTCCAGAGTCCTTAACCACCACACCACTTGCCGGCCCATAATTTTTGAACATTTTCATCATTCCTGAAAAAACCCACACCCGTTAACAGTCATTCTTCATTTTCTCCCATCCCCTCAATCTTATAAAGTTCCATTCACTTTATGGAGAATTAACTTCTTCCTCCCCTGAGCTATATCCATGGTCTCAGTACTTCAACATTTATGAGCTATTTTGTTATGGTCAAGAGTACTCCCAGGGTGACTCACAAGAAATGGAAACATAGATACACAGGCAAAGGTTACATCACAGAAAAAAAAAAGTATTCTACTTTCTTTGGTTATATTCTAACTTTCTCTCCTAGTAAAGGCTCCTTTATTAAGAGAAACTTAAAATCTATCATATTCTCCAGATTTTTGTCTGTGGATATAATGAGGTTATTGTCAAAAGGATGCATTCTTTTTGTGGATATTTTAGTGTACGCTCTGTTAAAAATACAGGGGGAATTTTTAAATAAATCAATTTTCAGTTCTTGTCTTCAGGAAGCTTCAGTTCCATACTTGAGTAAAAGATCGAATTCCTTAAATCTGACTTCCTAATAGGAAAGTCAAAACAATGCCATCTGCACTGAGTTTGTGAACATCAAAGTCTTGTCCAATTTTGGAGTCTAATAATATACAGGGCTGATAATTTCATCCAGCCAAGTTTTACTATTGTTTTTCCCTTTAAGAAAGACCCTGGGAGGCAGACTTACATTTAAAGAGTTGAGTAACATTCATTGAAAGAGCTTTGATTTCTGCACTTGTTTAATGAATATATTACATTCAGAAAACTTTGAGTACACTGTGGATAAATTAAGAAACCATTCTGCAATGTAGGCACATAAACAGTTTTGGCATGGATTTGCTCAAACACGGGGATCAAATCTTGAGTTCTTTTAATTACTGAAAATGGGAATGGTCTGAATTTGTTTGAATATCCAAGGTTCTCCAGACAGAAAAATAAAGTCCAGTTGTTGAGAACATTTATTATTTCTGTCTTTCATAATTATTTTAGTAAATTTTAAAATGGATCAGTTTTTAATCATTTTCCTACTTTTTTTTTTTTTTTTTTGGGAGAGGTTTTTTGCTATAGGGCACGTGCGCTCGCCAGACAGACAGAGAGAGACATAGAGACAGAAGGCGAGAAATCACCCTCCAGGGGAGATGGTCACACCCCAATCCCTTCTCCTCCATTCTCCTCTTGGGATCTTGGGCACGCACGCATATGCACCCAGCGTGAGTTTTAAGCCACTGGGTCCGGGACGTGAACCGCGGTCGACTACGTGGGAGTCCAGCGACATAGCCATTACGCTAACTGCTGGTTCCCTTTTGTATTTTATTTTTTTGAGAGGTTTTTGCTATAGGGAGCGTGTGCTCAGCAGAAAGACAGAGAGGGACAGAAAGCAAGAAATCATCCCCCAGGGGGGATGGCCATGCCACAATCCCTTCTCCTCCATGCTCCTCTTGAGATCTTGGGCACACACGCACACGTGCCCAGTGTGAGTTTAAGCCACCGAGTCTGGGACTCGAACCATGGTTGACTACATGGGAGTCCAGCGACATAGCCCTTATGCCAACTGCTGGTCCCTCATTTCCCTGTGTCTTAATAGTCAGGAGTATTTGACAACACTTGAGCTCAAATTTTGTCACAGTGTTTATCTTGTAAAGGGTTAACATTTTAATAAAATGTCACTATGATAGGATGGGATTTATTGTCAAAGAAAGAGAAAGGAAGTAAGGAAGCTTCAAGCAAACCTGTCACCTATTTAATTTGATTTATAACTAATATCAAAGAGTATGAAGAGACCAACCCCAGTATATATTCTTTCTGGGGCAGAAAAAGAGATGAGAGAGAAAGATATGGGAAATTGCAAACTTGTGAGAGTTTGATAAGAGTCCCCCCCCCTTTTTTTTAAATGCAGGATGAATCAATGCGACACATTTCTGAGGGCTGCCCTGGGGTCCTATATCTCAATTTGTCTAACACAACTATCACCAACAGAACTATGCGACTCCTGCCGAGGTAACGCTTGTGTGTTTTTTTTTGTTTTTTTTTTTTTTTTTGTATTACACTGAAGAGAATAATGCTCTGCTTGGCTCTGGTACTCCCTGAAGGCAGCGCTCCTTTACCAATACCCCACCGTGTGGTACCCTTATTCTGATAAAGGAACTGCTGTTTTCAAGTCCCTATTCTATGACTCTTCCCATTATGTGGGCCCAGGCTTCAGTAACATGCCCAGTAGCTGGAATTAGACCTTGCCTATCTTTTAGCATCCCTGCCCCCACTGGGCACTGAGACCAGACCACTAATTTCTAGTCTAGAGCCTGGGACTGCTCTAGGATAGAATATCAGCATCCTGCCTCCATAGACTTTGGGCACTGCCCTCCCTGATTCCCTGTTGCTAACTGTTGAGGCCTGCACCACCTCTGGGGAACTCAACACTGGTTTTTTTTTTTTTTTCTTTGACTATTTATTGCGTGTCAACAACCTTGAACATGAATATTGCTTCTCTTCAGCCAGATCTTCTTTGAAGGTGAAGGGATAGAACAACATGAGAGTTGACAGAATTTTCAAATGTATCACAAATTTATGTCAATTATTCTTTATTTTCACTATAGAAAGATGAACCAGAAAGAATATGTAATCAGTTTGACGAAGACTCAAATTTGACTTTGGGTCAACAGTTTCAAACAATTATGAAAGAATGAAATGTTTTTGAGATATAACTTTCTGAGACCTTCTGAAACATAACAGTGAGGCATTTGGAAAAGCTTATGAAGCTTGAGAAAGCTTAAGAAAATTCTGGGTGGTATTGTAATTTTCTTTATCTTCTGATTCTGACCATTTTCTGCAAATGTGTAAGCCTAAAAAAAAAAATGGCATATTTTGTTTCTCTACTAATTGAGCTTCCACATTTTAGTTACATCTATCAAACCTTCCCTTTAAAATCTCAACTGATATTTTTAAACATAAAGTGTCTTCTTCTTTCCAGTCATTTAATATATATTGATGTTTATTTCTTTTTTCCTTGTATTTTTTTAAATTGAAATGTATGATCAATCTAAAATTTATTTTGGTAGATGAGTGAAGCAATGATCTAAACCAAGGGTCAGCAAACTATAACCCATGGAGCCAAAGGCCTGTTTTTCTATGGTTCACAAGCTAAGAATAGCGTTATGCTGTAAATATTTTTAAACAGCTAGCCAGTTATTCCAGCATCATTTATTACCTAAAACTTTTATCAAGTGATTCTTCCTTGTATATCTAAAATTCTCATATAGGTAATAAATACTTAAAACTTATTAGTTATTACATATATTTCTATATGTTACTTTATTTGTGCTCTTGACATTGGGCCCATTGAGTATCTGTGGCGAAAACACAGAACTATGAGCTACTGCACATTTCTTATCAATCCTATGTTCAGTGACCTCTATTGGTAGCTTGGAATTGGCCAATGAGGAACTATTTTACGCAGTGGAAAATGGCAAACATTGTCATCAGGGCTTGATTTATTATTTTGTTGATTGTTTAGCCTGAGAGCATGATGGAGAAAACAATGAAGAAAGTAGATTAAATTTAAAAGTATATCTTGTTTGTGGTTACAACATTGTAAATAGCATAACAATTGAGGAAATAAACTTCCAATACTTGGAAACAATTTTTAAAAAATTTTTATTTAACTTTATTTATTATTATTATTTAAATTTTCTATAGGTTACCTGCACTCACCAGAGAGAGTCAGAGAGAGAGAGGGAAAGTGAGAAAGCATGCTGCCAGGTCTGGCAGGTCTGCTAGGTCTGACCACTTGAACCATGGTCAGCCACGTGAGAGTCCAATCCCTTTACCACCATGCCACCTGCTGGTTCTGATAATTAGAAACTATTACCTAATTCAGTAAAGTAGTTACCCATATCATCAATGGATGTGTGAAGTCTGCACATATATATATTTGTTATCCCACCTTTGTTTCACTCATTAATGCAAATTAAAATATTCATATTGGAATTATATTCATTTTCATTTGCAACTATGATTGACTGGCTACATTTATAACAGTTCCATTAGCAAAGAAATAAAAACATATGAGTATCAATTGGCTATATCCAATTTACATTAAAGAGTATTGTGTATGTTATTATTTGTATGTTATATGTTACATGTCCTCTATATATGTAAAATGGTAAATGTAAAATAGTAAAATATAGAATTTTATGGAGCATTTACATATTCTAACATGCATACCTTTTTTAAAGGTTTATTTATTTATTTTATTATTTTTTAATTTTGCCAGAAAGAGATACAGAGAGAAGGAGTGAGAGAGTAAATGAGAAAGCAAACCACCAGGTCTAGGACTTGAACTGTGGTTGACCATGTGGGAATCCAGTGCCTTAACTACCATGTGAACTGCCAACCCCTGCATACCTTTTTTGAGAGAGCCAGTTATCACATATTTATCAGTATACCAATAATTAAAGATAAAATAAAGTAGAAATTAATTTATATTTTTATGATGTTTAGTTTCCCTATCAAGAACATGTTATACTTAGAAAAGTTTTTCAATTTTCTTTAACCCTGCAATAAAATTTTATTAATATAGATCATTCCTGTAAAACTAAGTTTAGGTATCTTTATCATTAATTGATTAATTTTTTATTTTATTATGTTTATTTATTATTTTTGAGATTTTTGCTATAGGGTGCATTTCATCACTGGAGATACAGAGAAAAGTGAGAAATCACCCCCAAGAGGGGATGGCTATAGCACAGTCCCTTCTCCTCCATTCTCCTTTTGGGAACTCAAGCATGCATACACACTTGCCCAGCGTGAGTTTCAAGCTTCCAGGTCTGGTATTCAAACTGTGATTGGCTATGTGGGAGTCCAGTGCCTTACTCACTATGCAATCTGCTGGTCCCTTATTTGTTTAAGTTTATTTATTTATTTCTTCCATGAGAGAGGGAGAGAGACAGAAAGAGGTACCCTATCAGGGTCTTCTCGACAACTGTCTTCCGCCAGCCTCAGCCAGCTCAGATCATGGGCATGCATATGTACCCAGAGTGTTCAAGGAGGCCTCTCTGATGTGGGACCTACATCATTGAGCAGTCACTGCTGTGCCATGAGTGGGCCCTACCCCAGATGTCTTTCTAATTTTTGTTGTAAATTATATCCTTTCTGACTATATTGTCTCATTATATTTTCTAAATTGTCATTTGAAAACTTGAGTATGAGATTCAGGTATCTTTTGAAAATTTTCCCTTGAATAATTTGATTTCCTTTAAAAGTAAAATAATAGAGCTATCGAATTACTCTAAATAATATTTAGCTTATAAATTTTGATAAATATTGTTTTCATTTTCTAGACAAACTAGTCTATATTTGCTTTTGTCTTTGACCCAGTAATTATTTAGAAGAGCATTTTTGGTTCCAAGTGGTTGAAGTTTCTTTGATTAAGCTTCTGTTTTCAATTAGGCACTGTGATCAAGAAATGTGGACTGAATTATTTCTACTTTTTGGAATTTATTGAGATTTTTTGGTGGATTAGTTTATAATTAATTTCAGCAAATCATCCATGAATGCTTAAAACAAAAAGAATTTATTTTAGGGAACAAAATTTCTGTATATATGTGTGTGTACATATATAATACATATAAATTTTTGATATGTTATAATGTAATAGTGATATATACCACCTAGTGTAATCATATTTCTCGTGATTTATTTTAATGTTGTTATTGTATATATAGATTAATAAGTATCATGTTCACTATAGATTATAGAATTTATATAAAAGGATATTCTTTTACTGGTTAGTATTTCTTTGCTTTGAATTCTTTTATTTTTTTGGAGAGATTTTCGCTATAGGGCACGCGCGCTCGCCAGACAGAGAGACATTAGAGACAGAAAGCGAGAAATCACCCCCCGGGGGGATGGTCACGCCGCAATCCCTTCTCCTCCATTCTCCTCTCGGGATCTTGGGCACACACGCACACGTACCTGGCGTGAGTTTTAAGCCGCTAGGTCCGGGATGCGAACCGCGGTTGACTACATGGGAGTCCAGTGACATAGCCATTACGCTAACTCCTGGTTCCCTTGAATTCTTTTTTTAATCTGATATTAATATAGGGGCCAGCAGGTGGCATGGTGGTTAAGGTGCTAGACTCCCACATGTCCTACTGTGTGTTTGAGTCCCACACCTGGCAGTTTGCATTCTCATTCTGTCTCTCTCTGCCCCTCTCTAGTAAGCACACATGCTCTATAGCAAATTTAAAAATAATAATAATAATAATAAATAAAATTAAATAATTCTTTATAAAAAATTAGAAATTAATATAATCACCTTTGTTTTCTTTTGCTTGTGCTTTTTGTAAAATAACTATGTATCTCCATAGTTTTCATCTTTGCATCTTTGAATTTTAGGTGTATCTTTTAGATTAAGCTTGTAGCTAACTTCTATGCATAAAATGCCTCCTCTAAGAAGACAGTTTGAAAGATTAATATTTCTTGTCAAATTGGGCGTATGGTCTTATTTTTATCCTCTTGATTTTTATGCTACTATGCTGTACCCAGTGTTTCAGTCTTTTGCTGTATGAACTATGATAATAATAACATATTTGATTTTATAATCTGAAGGTATTTGAACCATATGTATACTTTTTTTGGGTATTCTGACTATTGGTATTTTTAAAACACATACTTTACCATGCATTTCCCTATCAAAGTCAAAATGAACAATAACTTTTACTTCTTCTGTATTAGAAGAAACATCTAATACATTTAAATCATCTCTCTACTTTTCCCTTGAAAGTGACATTGCTCCACTTCCACTCCCCTATATAAACACATACATACATTTTAAAGTTCACTTACTTATCGTGTGTGTGTGTGCCTGCGTGCAGAGAGAAGAGAGAAAGAGAAACATGAATACAGGTACCTTGACCGGGTCTCAATACTATATAGTTCTCCCAACCCCCTGGCCAGCCAGCCGGGATCATGGGTGCACCCATGGACACACGTAGCGTGTT